TTCCCCATGTGACCCAGGAGCATTGCAGATAACTACGGTTTGAATGACTATATATTTTTTTTTTGGGCAAACTGTATATTTATTCCAGTCTTTAGTTTTGGGAAAAGAAATGTGACTTTAAAAAGTGTTTAGTTCTTTACATAATGATTGTTCTAAACAACTTTGCTTCCTGTGCCTCTTGCACCAGAACATCAGAGGAACTCTCTAGTACATTTTACCTGATGTAAAGTAAGAGTTCTGATGACTTTGTAACTGTGTACTGAGTTAGGAAAGGCTATCATCCTATGGCGGTTACACCCGGATGCTAGAAATATGAGTTACTAAGAAGTTATGAATGCGAGTGATAAAAGGCAATCAAATAAACGAAAGCTTCCACGGACAATCTTCTAGAAAAGCCTTAGTGTAGAGATCAATTTATAAGCTCCAGGAGCTCAGAGTACTGGCTTTCTTAAAAGAATAGTTATTTTTTTCTGGGGGAAAAAAGGTTGCTTCATAATGTGGTTCTACAGGAAAAAAATGTCTTTAGGAATTTTCTGTGTTTACATTTTATGTAGATGGGCAACGATAGGGTTATCCTTATACTAACCCTAATTATCAAATACATCTAGTTTATGGGAAAGGAAGGCTTTCATATTAAATCCAACAAACATATGGGAGGACTTGTGATTTTCATTTGTGTTAATTCTGGTCTATAATGGGAAGGCTGGGGAGATGACTCAGCAGGTAGAGTTCTCGCTGTAGTAGTGTGAAGACTAATGCTCAGATCCCCCAAACCTAGTAAAAGTGTGAACATGACAGCCTACCTGTAATCCCCAGTCTGTGGAAAGGGGACACAGGTGATCCCTTGAGCAAGCTGGCTACCCAGACTCGCCAAAATGACAAACTGTAGATTCAGCAAGAGACCCTGTTTCAGTGTATAAGGTAGAATTCAATAGAGAAAGAAATCTCACATCAACCCTGGGCCTCCACATGCAGGCATAGATATTTGCATGTGCATTTGTACAAATGTGTGTGTGTGCACACACACACAAACACACAGAAACATATACATCATACACACATACACATTTACACACACAATAAAATAAATTTTCTATATGAAGATTCAATATTATTTTCCTAGCACTTTAGTTATGAATTTTGGGAGAAAATGCCTGTTTTCTATTCAGGAAGAGGGGAGTGTTATCTGCTTCTCATTGGACTTAAGTTAACCAATGCTCTGTCCATTTCTGTAGTGAGGGTAACTTGGTACAAGGTGCCTAAGTTCATAAAGATATGATTTTTATCATGCACACAGCTTGCCACCTTCTACTATACAGAGTAAAATGTGATTGAGAATTAAAAACAATCTCATCTCCTCATGGGTATTTTACATTTCCCACCTTGGTGGTATCCTTGTCTTCATGCATCTTTCATTGCCTCAGAGTTGGGTAATCGTGTGATGTATATCAGGATTGAAGATTTCCTAGGAGAGACGTATGTAATCAGCTGATGGGCTGAAAGCAATTGCTATGCAGGATGTAATTCCCATACAACACTCTGTAGGAAGACCCAAGCAAGGGTAAAACAGACTCTCCACAGCGTGGGCACCACTTATCCATGATTGCACAGTTCTTGGATGGTGCACCCTGGAATCCAGGAACTGTGATGTGAATAGCAAGACTTGAGGGCAGGGCTTGGGAAGCAAGAGACTTGATATACAGCTCTCTGCAAGTCTCTTGACATGATTGAGATCACACTGTTGAATGCTCCTCTGTTCTTTCTAAGAAGAGATGAGCCAGGAAATTATTTTCCAAGTCTCACCTCAAGCAATCAATTGAAATGCTTTCCTGAATATTTCAGGTTTTGATGGCTTCTGAACTTTTCTCTGCTCTCAGTGAGAGCTCCTTGCATTGTCTTTAGGATGAGACTATTTACCTCCTTTTCAGGATACTCCCCCTCCCCCTCCCAGTTCATATTTCGATTGCAGAGGAAGAACCAAGTTAAACAAACTTGTTATACTATTCATATTATGCATATTACGTATTTCATAATTGATAATTACTACTTTTTACTAAGCTATTGTTCTAAGATTTGCTAATTTTTTAATGTATGAGTTGCCATGAATTACTATAATAGTATCTGTTTATTTAGAGAAATATAGCCTTAGATTCACTACATAGTCAAATGTACTTGAACTACTGATTTTTCTGCCTCCATTTCCTAAATGCTTCATTTACAGGCATGCAGTCCCATGCCTTGCTTGTTAAATTACTCTGATTAAAAAAAAAAAACTGTTGCAGCTTGAAGATACTGTAATTTCTTTGCTTTGTAAATTCATGAAGATTGGTAGCTCTGGGTTTCATGTTTTCCAATCTAATCTTTCTCTTATACTTGAGAGAATGATGCTATTGGTAGCCACATATCAGAAATTTTGGCTCAAACCACTTATAAACTGGCAATAGTCTGAGATGGTCTACTGTCTCATGACTTCCTAAATCTTGCTGGTCTCTGTGACATGTAGATGACAATTATATCTCACGGAGTCACATGGATATTGGATATAATAGCGCTTATATATGGGTTAGAGCGAGAGCTCATGGATTAGCCAGAGAGCTCCTTGGTTAAAGACATGCGCTACTCTTCTAGAGGACCCGAGTTCAGCACGCGTATCATGTAATTCTCAACTACCTGTAACTCCGATGTGAGGGATATCGGACACCTCTGGCCTTTGGAAGCATCTGAATTTTTGTGCACATAACCCTCTCCCATACATATAATTGCGGAAATAAAAAGAAATTGGAAAAATGTGCACAGAGCTCTTGCCCTATTGCATGTGTTAAATATTAGCAATTGATAATGTGTTTGCTACCACTTCCTTAGGAGTTATTTTAGTATAAAATATTTATATGTTGTGGTTCATATTTCCTTGACAATACAACATGTTAGATTGACTGAAGTTCATTCATCCTGTCATGCAACTATTCTGTCCTTACATGCTTATGTTCTAATTATTTTCCTATTTTTCTCCCTCTGAACAGTATTTAATATTAAGATGTATATTAAGAAGAATTTTAGATGCCCTCATCGCTGAAAACATTGTGGTGACCACAGTCTCAATGCTTATATATAAGTTGAATAAGATTGGATTTTTTTGACCTTTCAGTGGTTCTTTGTGAATTTCACATCGGGCACTCCAATCCCACTCACCTCTCCCTCCCCTCGTACCTCTCCTCCGCCCTTGCAGTCTCTCCCGCAACAGAGAAAAAAAAGTTCTCATTGTGGAAAGTATAGTTTGTCACAGTGTATCCCACAGTACACCCTTTTGCCCACACTTCTTTACTTGCAAATGTTCATTGCAATGACTCATGGTCTGGTACAGGGTCTCTGGCTTCTGCTACTCTATCAGTACCAGAACCTCCCTGGAACTCCTCTCCGATACCGTGTTGTTGTCCTGTGATATGAAGATCCTGTGGTTTTGGATCTGTAGGACTAGCCCCTTGGTGTACTCCAGTAGTTCGTCAATGGGTGGATGTTGGGGTGAGCAAATTCAATGTCCTGAATCTGGGCCTGAGAAGTGTCTGAGCCGATCAGCCTGCCACCCAGTTCTCATACCCACCAGCAACCCCTGCAACCCAAACAGGACCAGCTCTACCTGGCTGCTCCGGTGAGGTAAAGGGCCTGTTCTCTCAAATGTTGTAGCTGATGAGAGACATAGTAGTTCTACTCTCATAACGTAGGGCCAGCTCTCCTACCTGCCATAGATGGTGAGAATCGAGGGAGAGGAGGGAAGCAGCCTCATTAGGGCAGGATCTGCTGTGCTTAGACCCCCAGGCTCAGCTCCATTGTGCAGCCCAGGTTAGGTACAGAGCCTGCTCTCCTGAGAGCTGTAGAAGGTGAGGAGCAGGGCCAGCTCTCCAGCTCCGATGACCTCAGGGCCAGCTCTCCTAACTGCAACAGGTGGCAAGTTTCAAAAGGGGAGAATCTTTTCCTCACTAGTCACCTCATGGCAGATAAGTGGCATAGCCATATCTCTCATGCTCAGGGCCAGCTTGCCTTCATCCTTGATACCAGGGTCTGTACTGTCCTGCCAAGCAAGGTGCTGGGCTTACTGCCCCAAGTGCTGCAACTGGTGAGGGGCAGGGCCTTTTCCTACTCTCATGACTCCAGGACCAGGTTTCCTACCTGCCACAGATGGTAATGATGATGATGATGATGATGATGATGATGATGATGAGGAGGAGGAGGAGGAGGAGGAGGAGTGTATCTCTCTCATCTATGCCACCGAATGGGAGAAAGGATAGAGCCAGCACTCTCACACTCATCTGGCTCACCCACAACTCCTTCAGTGTGCAGGGTGAGTTCTGCAGCTGGCTGGAGGCAGAATTAGCGCTCTTGCTTTCGTGCCCCTAGTGCTAGCTTTTCCATGACACGGAGGTGAAGGGTGGGACTAATTTTGCACATCCCTCAGATATCGGCAGGGCCATCTGCCTGGCCATTGGTGGTAATAGACCCTTGCTGCTTCAAGGCCACAGACCCAGATGTGGCCCCTGGTGGCAGCACAAGCCAGATCTCACTGTGGTACCAGGTGGTATCACTGGCTCCTCACATCAGGCTGTTCTTTACTACCCTCAAGTCTCCACTTCTTTCTCTCTTCATTGTGCCTACATCCTTCTGTTTCTCTTTCTCTTCCATTTCTCCACCATTTACTTGTTCCTTTTAGTGGCACCCAGGGTCTCTGAGTATATGAAGTCTTAGGATTGGACTAAGGAGTACTATGCCCTTCCTCCACATTATGGTGCCAGGTAGGAATAATCTCAGGCATGGTCTGCCCATCAAGGCCTGCATAGTGCTGCTCTGATGTTCATCTCAAGCTAGCTCCTTGTCCAGGCCCCATGGCACTGGTCTGCTGGTTATCGAGGGTTCACTCCTCTCCCGGCCCTCCAGAGTGGCTCCTGGAAGTCATTCCAGGCCTGACTGGCACTGGACTGATGGTTGTCTCAGGCTTGCTTTTTTCAGAGACTGTTAGGCTACTAATCATCTAGATGTTCATAGGTCAGAACACTGATCAGAAACATAGCTTCTCTCCTTTCTGCCACCTACTGACACACGTGTGACACAGCAGCCACACCTGCAACACCTCTAGGGTCAGGAGGATTGCATTTTTTTTTAAATGACATGAAATCCCAAAGTACATTCCTCTAGTTCACAAAAACATGACGTTTAAACGCTGAAATTAAAATTTAATTATGAATATAGATTTCAGAATCAATTTGTTATAATTAATTACTTTTCAGTTTTGGAGTGCCAACTATTGTTCAGTCTTTAGGATTTTCCTTAAGTAATTCATCCCTCAAAGACAGTTGTTTCAGTTCTCTAAAAGACACAATCACATGTATATATGCACACACATATATACATGTATGCAATCACATACACATAAGGTGAGTATGATATGCATAAGAGTATATAGCCGTGGTGTTGTTTCAATGACAAAGTATGTATGAGGGAGATGATAAGAACTTAGTTAACTCATATGCAGGTCATTTTTGAGCAGAACTTTTTTTTAGCAGCTTTCTCTCTAGCCGAGTCCATTTTCCTTCTCTTTGAAAATGAGTTCAGAGGTGGGGATATAGCTTGGGGATAGGGTGCTTGCCTAGCATGTGTGAGGATGTAAGTTCGATTCTTAGTCCTGCAATGATGACCTATCTGAAACAATATTTGCTCCTCAGGTCACTATGAAGATTATGCAGGCAGCATCATTTGGAGTTATTGACAAAGTGGAAAGTACAATGCATTTAGATGTCAGAATGGCACATGACTTTCTCTGTCTCATCAAGCCATTTAGAGCTGAGATCACGCCATTCATCCGTACATTCCTGACTCTTGGGAGAGCACACTGCCCTCTCATACCATGAGGATGTGAACACCGAGCTAAAAACCCATTTGTCATGACAAGGACAAGCCAGGAATCAGTTGTGGAAAACTGTTCACTTCTAAGACTTGGAGGTTTAAATGTGATTATTTGTAAAGTACACAATATACTGCCAAGTCCCTACAAATGCCAGATAAATAGAGCTGGACCAATTGTTACTGGAATTTTTTTTTTCAGAAATAGAGTCAATTCCAGGTTTTTTCCAAGTCGACCAGAGGGTCAAGGCTTGAAGTGAAGGGTGATACTCAGACTAAGGTGGAAATGGCTAGTGTTGCCATAGAGACAGGCAGGCATAGCATAAATATACTTGGTAGTACTAACAGTTCTTGTTGTTTTTCATGGACAATGAGTCTTGTTCGCCAAGTTTATTCAAAATCTGCCATTACATTTTCTTTGTTTTTCATGGTAGATAGATCTTGTAAGTAAGAAAGTTTCATTTTTTTTCCCCAAAAGATGATGAGGCTTGAATATCAGGAACCATCTGTTACGTATAAATGTGAAAGGTGACTGCTTTCTGGCTCCTGACTTAACCCTTGCTAGTCAGAGGGTGGTGCACCCTTGATAGTCAGAGGGTGGTGCTATATTGGGAGGCTGTGGAGTCTTGAGAAGACAGGAGCTGGCTGAAGTCATCCCTAGGAGTTGGCCATTGGGGCAATCGCATAGTTCCTGGTTCTGGTCCCTCTTCTTCTGTGTCCTGGTCTGCTGCAATGTGAGTTACTTCTGTCACATGCCATTAGGATCATTAATGCTGCCATGTGTTCCCTGCCATGGTGGATTGGAATCTCTGAGTCTATGAACCAAAGTGAAGTATTTCCCTCTTGAACTGAGTATTTGGTTTGCATGTGTAAGTAACTGATATGTGGTCCTAAGGCAATCTGAAATCTTCAGCTATTTAATATGGGCAAGGAACAGAAGATTCTGGGAAAGCTGGGAAAAAAGTCAACTAAGTTGGGTAGCTTGCTATGGAAGAGAGTAAAAGGTAGTGATTTAGAAAACGTGTATCTGATGGAAACTTGCAAAAGAAAATCTGTGGTAGAAAAATGTAATTTAAATCCTTTCCTTCCTCTACCCTTAAAAAATTTCAATAAAATGTTACTTTACCTATGTTTTTGTATAGATGATGCTAAATAAATTTTAGTGCCCCTTCAATTTCATGTGTCGAAGCTAATTCCCATTGTGATGGTACCATGCTTGATTCTTGACACCCAGTTGCTCTCAGCAAAAATTCAGCTAGTTTTATAGTATGTGTAAGGAAAGATGGTCCTTGATAAATGTTTATTTGATCTACTTCACTAGACAGCAATTTGTAACAGTCAAGGAAGTTTTCAGGTGTTTTAATTCATGTTTTCATTACAAATAATCAGATAAGATCATATATGATTTGAATGTTCATCATAACAATTAGAGTTGAAAAACTAATACAGGAAACTAAAATAATTTTTAAAATTGCCATCGTTTATCTATTAGGAGGATAACAACATTCCAGTTTGTTAAGACACAACCATTTATACACTGGTAAATTCATCATTTCTCCAAACTAAGTATTATAAGCAGTATGGATATATTAGCTTATTTAAGTTTATTAGCTTATGGATGGATTAGCTTCAGTTTTTAAATTCAATTTGCACATCAATTTAAGTTTCGGCTCACAGACTAAGGTGTCAGAGAACTACTGAAATATTTATTGGATAAAGAACATAAAAATACTCATTTTCTCCATTTGTCTTGAGATTTCCAGTGTACCCCAAAACAAGGAAATGCCAACTGACTTGAGAAGAAAATAATTACCCCATCTTTGCCATTTTTTCTTAGCACTGAGGATTATCATTACTGTTTTATACTTAACTACTTCTAGACCAAAAAAATGACTTTCTGTAAAAATTGCTCACACAACAAACATTCATAACTGAAAAATATAACAGATAATAATTAGTGTTTTGTAAAAATGTCTTTATTGAGCACAATGACCATTATTTAAACATTTATGGGATATCTAAAAGGATTATAGGGACGTTCCTTTTCACCTTTTCAATTTATAGTACTTGTTACTTTTGGGAAGATCTTTAAAGTGACTGTTTACACTACAAAGAACAATCAGAGGCTAAACACAGCTAAAGATCCTCTGGGCAAACAACATATAAATATTTAGCAAATAAAACATAAACCAGAAGGATTATTCAATAAAGCATGTCTTTTTCTTTTCAAGTGGAATTGAAAAATTCCTCTAGCAAGAGCCAGCTCATAACTAATAGGGTCCTTTATTAAGGGTAGATGGCTTGATCAAGTACTGTAGCATATTCATCCCCAAAGCCAAGAGAAAATGCTTTTGAAGGTAGCAAAAGGGGGGATAGATTTTCTTGAGCTATTGTGTGGTCTAATATTACTTGATTGCTCTATTGTAGAGTACTGGACCACAACAAAGACAACATATTACTTATTTTTCAAAGAGACACAGAAAAAAAAGATGTATTCTGCAGAGTTCACAGCTGCTATTGTTCTCTGACAGTTATTTTCAGTAATTTTTTAATACATTGTAATGGCCACACACAGTAAGAATAATCCTGACATAGCATTTTTTGGGGAATTGGCTTTGTAATTCTAGATTCTTATGCACGCATTGTCCTATTTGAGGGAGTTCTGTTATTATATCACACATAATCCAATAATATAAGAGCTGAATTTCAAATAGTTGACATGGGCTTATATTTGCAGATATTAAATTAAAAGCACATGAATTTGGCTTCTTCAATTATGTTTTTATATTTAGAGCCGGTTAAATCTTTATATCATTAATATTCATGGAGGACCTAACTAGTTTTTCCATTAATTAATAGCATTTTAAAAAATCCTAATTGTTTTCTTCTATACCTACATTTGACAGTTAATTGCTTTACGAATTGTGTATACTTCTGTTATTGACTACTTATGCAATTATGTCATCAACTGCTCCTCAAGGCTAGAAATAACTGTCTATTGAATAATTATAATGGCAGTATTTTACAGTATGGAAAAATGCTCAATGTTAAACTCTTACACATTCAACAAATGTAACATAAAAATCAAATCTGGCTTTATCTTAGGAAACTGACAAACTAATCCTAGAATTTATATCGAAATGTCAGAGCCCTATACTAGCTAAAACAATCTTGAGAAAGATGTATGTGCTTACAATTCTCATCTTCTCTTATTTTAAACTCCCTACTGAGTGGTAATAATCAAGCAAGGATGGTACTGACACAGGATAACTGCACATAGATCAGAGTAATAGAATTAAGCATCTAGAAAGCCATTGCAATGTGCTGTTCTTTTAATTTTGACAAAGGAAGCAAGTTGATTTAATGGAGCAAAAATAATCATTTTAAAATAAATGGTGCATGTATAACGATGTTCATGTGAAAAATACAGATTTAAACACATATATAATGTGATATACACTATAAAATAAGTGATTGCAGACCCAAGTGTAAGATCTAAAAGTAAAACAAGCCTACACTTCTGTGGCATTGGGTTAGTTATGGCTTCTTAGGAATCACATTGGAAGCATCATAACAAACCAGGATATTGGTAAATTAAACTTTAGCATCAGTTAAAGCTTTTATGCTGAAAGGGAACCAACAAAAAGGTGACCACAGAATGGGAGGGAATATTCAGCTGTCATTTAACGGGAAAGGAACTTTAATGTCGGGTATATGAAGAACTCTTACAACTCAACAAGCAACCCAATCAAAAACTTGGCAAAGGATCTGAATAGACAGTTCTTCAAAGGAATCTGGAAATGATGAGAAACCACATGAAAAGATGCTTAGCACCATTAGTCGTTAGGGAAATACAAGTGGAGAACCACAGTGGAATTCTACTTCTCACTAACTGAATGGCTATAATAGAAGAGACAGACACAGTTGTTAGTGAGCACATGAGTAAATCCAAACTCACATTCTGCTTGGTTTGTAACATTTTCAGCCATTCAGTCTTCTGGTGAAGAGTTTCAGTCGCTCAAAAGGTTAAGCATAGAATTATCATAGGATCCCCAGATTTCATTCTAAATATTGCATGGTGCACACACACACACACACACACACACACACACACACACACACCCCAAAAACCTGAACACCTCACACAAACACACAAACACTCTCACACAAGCTTTCCTATCAGTATTATTTATGTTAGGCAAAAGAGGAGAAACAACCTAAATACTTACCAATAAATTAATGA